CGTTGCACAAATTATCTGAAAATTTACAACGTTTTTTTGTTTCTTGACGGTTTATGAATTATTCTTCACGCAGTATTTTTTAAAATCACAAACTTTTTGCACGCTCCAAATTACGTGGACCGCTTTTGTTCTACCTTGTCACGCTGATTAAATGGAGATTGACTTATTTCAGCGTTTTTTTTTGTTTTATGAAACATCTTGTAAAATAATGAAGGCATCACCGGTCTCGTAATTTTACAAGCGATTTGTGCAACGGGAAATTTCCCAAGCATTTGGTGTAATTTTAGGAAACTTTTCATATTTTTTGGACATTGCTGTAGTATTATAGTCACGTTTGAGATGTATATTGTACCTACGATTTCATAAGGCGGTGTTCACAAACAAATTTCAGAAAATTAAGAAGATTTCTGTGATGAATAATTTATGAAACGGCCTCTACGAATAAAATTTTATAAAATAACGAAATGTTATTGTTACTTTACAGGGAATTTGTAAAAAAAAATTCGTAAATTTACAATAAATTTTTTTCAGTGCAGCCAGCAGCCACTCACCGTCCGAATCGTCAGCAACCGGGGCGTTGAGGCCACACCGCGCTCCTCCCGAGGGGGGCTGCCACACTGCTCTGCCTCCGTCTTGACGCGCCGGGCACCTGCAAGCAGCACAGCGTTAGCGCCAATATCAAACTGCATCAACCACCAACTACCTTTCCCTACTCAAAACTAACTCCAACGCACTTCAAAATACCGAACCATTAAAACAAGCGGAACGAAAATTAATAACTGCACCGCAGCAAGCAATTTATCAAGGAAACAGCCAGACCGGATTAGCAGCACAAATTTGTAGCTCAAGCATTCTAGAATAACAACATTGACATTGCAGCAGGTCACTCGACCACACACCAACACCAACCGCCGCTAGGGCATGCACAGACCGATACAGTGTTTCAAGGCACGTGAGTGTGAAGTGGGTAATAGAAGGAAGTCGACACACAACGCACGACGGGGCTGAGCATTTCCATTCAATGTGGTCAGGTCAGAACAAAAAACACATTGTAATTGCAATGAACCAAACATTGTGCGCCAAGAAAACCCTCTATCAGGGATACAATCGAAGAACTAGAAAGTAACAAAACTTTTAATTGACAATAAATCACTCGAAAAAGGACAAAGCTTTAGCATCCCAATACAATCAAAAGCCAACAAAGAAAATACATCATATTCCGACCCAGCCAGTCCGTAACGAATATAAAACAGGTCAAAAGATTTCTAAGTACACAGGGCGAGAACATTTTGAATACCAAATAGAGTAAGAAAAAAAAACAGTTAGTCACAAAAATCAGTTAAAAGTTACAGTTTTGTCGCAAGATTGAGCAGAACACTTGTTTCAAGCTCGTAACAAAAGAATATTGAGAATTCACTGTGCGTTTAAACACAGGTCAGAGGCGCAGTCAAATGACCTCTAGCGGGGGTGGACAGAAATTACACCTGCAATATTTGAACCGAAAAGCCTGTCCTTACATTGAACCACGAAAAGTTTCAACACTTCTGCGCATTCCGAGGCAGGCCGCTTTGGGGAACGCCGAACGCATACAATAACTACGTGCAGGATTAAACTAGCTTCTTCTTAGCGTGGGTCTTGCTGTGCGCGGCAAGAGAATACCTCCATGTGAATCGCTTCTCGCACACTTGGCACCGAAAAGGCTTCTCCCCAGTGTGGGTTCTTTCGTGTGCCTTCAAATCGCTTGATTGGGTAAACTTCATTTCACACACTTTGCACTGGAAAGGCTTCTCTCCGGTGTGGATCCTTTCATGCTTGATCAAATTGCTTGACTCCGAAAACTTCTTTCCACACACTTTGCACTGAAAAGGCTTCTCCCCAGTGTGGATCCTTTCATGCTTGATCAAACTGCTTGATTGCGAAAACTTCTTCCCACACACTTTGCACTGGAAAGGCTTCTCTCCAGTGTGGGTCCTTAAGTGCCTTGCAAGCTCGGCCGCCCACTGGAACACCTTGCCGCAGTGTTGGCAGGCGTGCCGCTTGCCGCGCGCTGCGAGGTGCTTCTCCAGGCCCGCCTCGGCATCCAAGGCCGCTCCACGCTCCGCACACTGCGAGGCGACAGCGCGGTCCGCCCCTCCGTCCCCAGCCGTGCCGCTGGCCGCGGAGTCCTGCTTGGCGTGGCCGACTCCAGAGGCGAGCGAGAAGGTGGCGTCGATGTGCAGCCACGGCTCCTCAGCCTCCAACCCTGCAACCAAACGCCCACACCGTCAACAACGCCTCGCGGTGCCCAACTCGCCGCCGTTGGCGTGCAGTGCGAGCTGCAGGTGGCGGGGCAGTGGTCTCGCAGTGCAGCGGCCTCTCTGCCAGTACGCACCGTCCTTGCCGCCTTGCCCCGAGGTCGCGGCGCTGCGTCCACGCCGCGGTGCTCCTGCAGCAGGGCTGCCGCTCTGCTCTGCCTCCGTCTCCACGCGCCGGGCACCTGCAAGCAGCACGCCGTCAGCGCAGTCCACTGCAAGAAACGCTGTGCTTATTTTGATAGTGACACTCATTCCAAGAACCTGACACAAATTTGAAACAAATGTGACGAGATGTCGCGTTTGTTTGAGCATTGTGTCACACATCTGGATGAGAACCAGCCACTAAGTACCATCTCGTATTTAATCGACTTCGATACAAGACACTTAAGACAGTCTGAAAATTTATGAACATAGGTTTTTTTCAGAGAAACGTGTGGTATAAAATAGTCAGCTCTCTCAAAAGTCTCGTCTGCAAGTCTCACAGAGCTGCACTTTTGTTGAGACAAAAAAAATTACCCGCCGAGTAGTGGCTGCTCTAAGAAAGTGAGGCCAATAGAGGGGCCAAGATTGTGTCTGCAACGACCACCATGGCTATTTGGTTTGAACGACCGCCCACTGTAGGTAAGCATCAAGAAAATTTTAACGTAAGCGATAGCAACCTCAAAGATATTGCTGTGCAAAAGGCATAGCCATTGATTCGTTTGTCAAAACCGCTTCTATTATCATATCAGAAGATGCATTAAGCCGATCTGTGTTACCGGGGGCAGGTAAAGTACTCGCCAATGGCACTGGAAGCAATCGAACACCATGGTTAACTTCTTGCCTGAGAGCACAGGCTGCGGTAGACCAACTCACCGTCCGAGTCGTCCTGTCCTGGGGGGTCGGCGACGCTGCATCCACCTGCAGGAAGGCTATCACACTGCTCTGCCTTCACCTTGACGCGCCAGGCACCTGCAAGCAACGGTTGTCACGGAGTTGGTTTCAGTTTTGATCTGATTTAACAATACAGTATCTTAGGCTAAAACCGCATTGAGTGCGGTTGAGCGGGGTTGATTTCAAGATTGATAGGTAAAACTATCAATAAAACTAACTGTCAAAGGAACAGCTGCGCATTTATTAATTTGCGAAAAGCAGCGAGTGATAAAATAGGGCGAAGGCTTATCGGAGAGTCTCACAGGGCACCAGTTTTCCTTGAAAACAGAAAATGCCTTAGGCATGTTAATCGTTTTAAAATATGTACTGAGACTCATGGACGCGGCAGGTTTTGAAAGGGAAGAGCAACATGGCAATTGGCTAAAAACTGCCTGCGGTACGAGGGATATGTTAAAAATACTTTTAACTGGTCTACTGCAAGCCATGGATTTCTTTCCTTTCGGCAGCCAGTGAATCGCTCCTCATAATCGCTGCAATAATCAAAATGCACGCAGGTTTCCTGGGGAACGAGACGAACTCGCAGAGTGAGACTTGCGACGTTCTGAACGAGCAAGCCGTCGACATGCAGGAAAGCGTTGCACAGCAGCTCCGAACTGGACGATTTCATGCCTCACATCACAGACTGCGGTTTGGTCCCAGCCACTCACCGTCCAAGGCGTCCTGTCCTGGGTCCTCGGCGCTGCGTCCAGCCGCAGGTGGGCTGCCGCACTGCTCTGCTTCAGTCTTCACGCGCCAGGCATCTGGAAGAAATACACAGTAAGCGTAAAGTCATTTGAACTTCAATTTTTACTGTCTATCTTTCCCCATCTAAAACTAATTGCATTGCCTTTCAAAATGCTTACTGAACTACAAACCGAAATACTTTAAAGAATGCGATAAAAACATAGAGACCACACTACAATTTGACTTAAAAAAACAAAACAAAACTAAAACTTGAGGACCATGGGGGTTAAGGAAAAAATACTGAAAATATCACTTCATTGCACATAAAAGCGCAGATAATCGTGGCAGTCACTAAATCAAATTAGAAGGAAAAATAAGGAGCCTAGTTATAACAAATGGACTAACATTAAGAGCACAAACACACACCAACCGCCACTATGTCATGCACAGACCGCCATGGCAAGGCACGAGAAAATGAACTTAGTGATGGATGGAGAACAATACATTACGGAGCAGGGTCTTTCGGACACTTGTTCGAAATGTGATACATGAAAGATTCAAAATGAGAAATACACTGTTCTTCTAATTAACGATACTTATTGAGCCACGTTGACCCGAATCAGGAAGACAATCAGAGAACAATACGAAAAGGAAACTTCCATTTGACAGTAAAACACTCAGCACGGACATAATAAATTCAGCATCCCAAATCAATCAGCAGCAACACAAATATAAAATATCAAACAGGTCCAAAGAAGTATTATACAGATCAAAAGGTTTTCTCCAGGATTCAATCAAACTACATTCTTTATCCTGAGACAAACATAAAAACAATAAAGAAAGGATTTCACAATGAAACTTTTTACAAAAAAGGATCAAAACTGTCCTGCACTGGTGAAACAAAGGCATAAAAATTACGCCCTTTAGGGCATAAATACTCTTTTACGCCCTTGCAAGGGCATAAATCGTTTTATGCCCTTGGGGAGGGCGTAAATGGTATAGGAATTTTAAGCAAAATTTTAATGCCCTTCCCAAAGGCATTAACGATTTATGCCCTTTAAGGGCGTAAATCGTTTACGCCCTTAAAGGGCATAATTTTTATGCCTTTGTTTCACCAGTGTGGCCAAGTAGAGGAAAAAGATGATCTTTATAAGAGAGCCCAAGCATGTAGTGCTAAAGTTTTGAATGAGTAGAAACTGCAGTTAAGCTGCGAAGACTAAGAATTTTCACTCTAAATGTACACGGACTGGACTATTTTTATAACGAACTGAAAACATTATATGGCAATACCACACACGATCAGACATTTGTTAACAGTTAGTCAAAATTTGTCAGTAGATGGTTACACTTAAGTCACCAGATAAAGCAGAGCACCACTATGTTTCTAGGGTAACGACAGTAATTGCTCAACGTTAAGTATCTTGAAACATGATTTAGGGGCGCTAGCTCATGGCTTCTTGAATACTATGGTGAACATCGACAATATTTGTCCATATAGGGTTTTCCTTAGTATGAATTAGTGAGCCTTACAAAGCGGGCCGCTCGGTGGAACGTCCTCACAGACTAACACTTATTCCACATTAAGAGGCCTCTTCTCATCGGTGTGGGTCTTGACATGCTTGACGGGTAGGGACTTCCGGGAAAAGCATTTTCCGAACAATTGGCACTGAAAAGGCGTCTACCTAGAATGGGTCCTTTCGTGCCTGGTCAAATCGCCTGATTGTGCAAATCTCTTCGCACACACATTGCACTCGAAAGGCTTTTCTCCAGTGTGAATCCTTTCATGCCTGGTCAAATCACCTGATTGGATAAATTTCTTCCCACACACATTACACTGGAAAGTCTTCTCCCCAGTGTGGATTCTTTCATGCTTGTTCAAATCGCTTGACTGCACAAATTTCTTTCCACATACGTTGCACTCGAAAGGCTTCTCTCCGGTGTGGATCCTTTCATGCTTCTTCAAATCACCTGATTGGATAAATTTCTTTCCACACACTTTGCACTGGAAAGGCTTCTCCCCGGTGTGGGTCCTTGAGTGCTTTTCAAGATGGGACGCCCACTGGAACTCCTTGCCGCAGTGTTGGCAGGCGTGCCGCTTGCCGCGCGCTGCGAGGTGCTTCTCCAGGCCCGCCTCGGCATCCAAGGCTGCTCCACGCTCCGCACACTGCGAGGCCACAGCGCGGTCCGCCCCTCCGTCCCCAGCCGTGCCGCTGGCCGCGGAGTCCTGCTTGGCGTGGCCGACTCCAGAGGCGAGCGAGAAGGTGGCGTCGATGTGCAGCCACGGCTCCTCAGCCTCCAACCCTGCGACCAGGTTAGAAATTATCAATAGGGTGGAGCGATGGATCGAAAAGGGAGAAATTTGCCATAGAAAGATCCTCAAGAGACTCTTGAACTAGTTGCCACAATAGTTTTGACCGGGGCTACCCCCTTCTTGTCCATTTGAGCCCTCAAACGAATGGATCTGGGCGCAAAAGAATAACATTTTTACGAGCATACACAGTAAATTTCTTACAGTGAAAGGCTGCACTAACATATAATGGTGGAGATTTTCTCCATGATACGCACGAAATTCGTAAAAATGTCTTAAAGTTGAAGTGATGGATGGTTTGTTATGAAGTCAGGAACACCACCATATTATGGAACATTCCCACCATATTATGGAGAATCTTCAATATACAACATTTAGAGTGTACATGCGCTTCGGCTTAAAGCTTTGAATTTTTAGTTAATTTTCTCAACATATCCATACGCGGTTCACATTGAAAACCGATGATGGAACACTGAAAGACAACTTAGTGCACAGTTATGACAGCAACGTTCGACTGCAGTCTCAAATGGAGATGAGCGTTTACCTATACATTCGATCTAGATTCCAAGACACTACAGACAAGGTAGGTGTACGCCAGACTGTGTCTTGTCGCAACACGCTTCGCGATGCTACGCCAGTTACGCCAATCCACGCCTGATGTTCACACCTACCTCGGCCTGCGGCTGAAGTACAGCTCGTCCAAAATCAGGGGCGTAATTAGGCGGGTCGAAAGGGGGGGGGGCGAATGTTTGAAAAGTTGCCTACCTTCAAGGAGCCTGTGTCTGATAGGTAATTTTTTAGGGACGTGGTTTGGGGAGGGGGGCTAAATTCAAAACAACGTTACAGAAAATTGGAGGGTTGTTACAAAGTTGGAAGAGGATTCACTTTATTCTACATTTGTTTGGACTCATGGCGAGAATTTTGAATTAGACAGCTCTCAGCGAGCGAAGCGAGCCAAAAGCTATAAATGCTTAACTGTCTGAAACGTTGTTTCCGAGTCCTACAATGGGGAAGACTTTTTCGTCTAGAAGGGCTGGCACACTTGTTTCCCCCCACTTGCCACGGAGCCGAAATTTAGAAGAGGCTTCCTGTTGCGAGCGAAGCGAGCCAAAAGCTATAGCCTTGTTGAGCGGAAAATGATATAACTTGGGGCCTTAGTCCTAGGATTCCAGGAGATTTTAAACATTACCAGGTACATATTTTCTGTTGGCCAGACAAACAAATGGTTGAAAATACGTTGCACACAAATTTTCTTCCCGGGCTAAGATGGTTAAGGATCTAAGAAGGCATTACATATGTCAGTCATAAGGTACCTCAATCCGGTTTATTTGCCAGGGGAGAGAACCCCGAAGCAAGTTACCTCCAGCGAGCGAAGCGAGCTAGAAGCCAATGCCTAAGTGTGTCCAAAATGCGAGTTGTTCAGGCCAGGCTAAGGGACGATTCCTGACTATCTGCTATTTTTTGGGCCAATCGGACCCAGTAAGCGCGCCTGTCCAAAATTGGGTATTGCTCAAGACTCTTTCATTCTCAGCGACCCTATTCCACTGCACTCTTAAAAGCCTACGAAGCTTTTAGCTTCATAACCTCAAAGAAAATGAAGGCATTGAAGAATTGCTTCGTATTATGAAGAAATGCTTCGTATCACGACGGAATTTGCTTCGTAATACGAAGCATTTCTTCGTAGATTTTACAATGCCCCCATTTTCTTCGTATTACAAAGCGGTTCTTTGTAGAGTTTTTACTGTGTGGGGTGAAGCTAGCCACTCACCGTCCGCGTCATCCTGTCCTTGTCCCGCCAAGCTGCGTCCATGCCGCGGTGCTCCAGCAGGAGGGCTGCCGCACTGCTCTGCCTCCGTCTTGACGCGCCAGGCACCTGCAAGCAGCACACCGTCAGCGAAAGCAGCAAGCCACCAACAGCACACCACCGACGCACACACCATCCAGAACAAGCATGCACAGACCGCTCCAATCGATGTGTGATCCACCCACGACCAGACGTGCAAATGAAAAATGGGCGTATGTCGACAATATAAATGACAGTGCACTGAGAAAACCTTACGAACTATTATAAGCCTTACAAAGGAAAGCAGCTTATTGTAACAGGTTATTTTGAGCATACATAAGCTCACAAGGAATGTACTTAGTAATTTACAGACCATTTCTTCGCATTGCATAGTAAATAAGTTTGAACTGTGAATGCGTTAAATACTTCGAAAGCGTGTGGTCAGGACTCCAAGGGTGGACAACTCAAAATTCACGTGCGAAGAACACGTTCCCAGGGAGCATTGCGGAACATCAGAACATCAAGACATGAGCGTAAGAACATTTTCAGGAACATCCGAGAACATTTGAGAACCTTTAGAGCACGTATGAACGTATGGAACGTCTCAGGACATTGACAACATTGTCACATATTGAACCATCTTCAACATCGGCGGAAATCCCAGAACACCAGAGGAAATCTGGCAACAAACTTCACGTGATGAGACTAACGTGTTACTCGAAAGAGTCACTTTTATCTCGAGAGGAGAGTGAAACTCGTTCTCGGACAGACGAACCCTGGCAACATGACAGAACATCAGGGACAGTAATTAACATCGGGTACATTCAGGAAAATTTACTAACATCAGGAATGTCGGAACGCGGGGACATTATCCCAAAACATCGAAGAACATAAACATTGGGTCGGGGGTATAATCGCGGAACACCGGAAACATCCGGGGAAAAGATCGAACACTGGGAACGTTATCACAGAACATCGAAGAACATCATAGGACATTTAGAACATGATAATACGTGTTCCTGCGTATCATAAAGTGGCAACAAACTCATACAAATTTATAAAATTTCACAGACCATATTACAGAAGTAAAATAATTCCTGAACTTGCTGGAATGTACGAGGCATGCACCTCCAAGTGTGTGATCATTCAAGCATGCGCCTTCAAGACGCATGAGTAACGAAGCACGTGTTTGCAAGCTGCCCTAAAATGAACTGAGTCACACACAAGCTCCGCCTGCACATCAAAATTTGAATAGAGGACTTCGGCCTAGAGAAGAAGAGGAGGAATACCGGATGTCGCAGCGGCAGCCCATAACAACCCCCCACTTGTTTTTACCCCCTCTACCCGAAAGCAGCCGACGGCCGCGGCCAAATCGGGGTGGAGGGGGTAAAAACAAGTGAGGGTTTGTTATGGGCTGCCGCTGCGACATCCGGTGTTCCTCCTCTTCTTCTTTAGGCCGAAGTCCTCTATTCGGACCCAACCGAGTGGATTTGTAGGGACCAGCACTCCAAAAGGAATCTACACCGCAGTGGACACTTCTAGCCGGGCCTGACGTGAAGAACAAGAAGAAGAACATTAGCTGGAAACAGCTTCCAAATAACGCTTGTAACAGTAAGAAAAGTGTTCATTCTCATTCCAAAAATTCATAAAAGCTTCATTTTATAAAAGATTATTAATTAAACCTGCCTGCTCTACAAACTGAAGTGTGTACTCACTATGCATCTACAGATGCATACTTGGAGAGGTTAGGTGTGCGTCTGTAGGTGTGTACTCAGCAAAGTTTGCATCTGTAGTTGTGCACTCAGCTGAGTATGCATCTGAAGATGCATACTGAGTACACACTTCAGTTTGTAGAGTGTCAGTTCTGAGATGAAGCTTCAATCTGTTCTTCGACCCACGACGACACCTATCTGGTGTACGCAAGGGCTGGAAAGACCATGCCTTGTAAAACGCTTCTTGATGCTGTTCGAGTTCAACAATCCAAATCCACGACAGGCGGAAGTTACGATAGGTCAAGTGTTCGCAATTGAAGACTCCGATATCGCATGCGTGCGTATTGTTTACAATCCTCTGCTGAATCTGAAATCAGAAAGCAACATTTAAGTGCACATTAACTTCGTGACAAAGACGTGGATGATATTTTCTTCGCTTTCATATGATGACAATCCCATCACAAACTAACGACATTTGCATCACAGCTCCTAAACTTATTATTGCATGGGCGTGACAATAATATAGTCATCAAGTCACGACTCAAATTTTCACAGTGCACAGCAACTGACGGGTTCTTGAGCGGATTCCAGAACGGAAGTCAACATGTCACGCTCCTTTGGAAAATTGTGTCACTTGCGTCGGAATGTGAATCGGCCACAAATTAGCGTTTTCATTCAAACAAATGTGACACAATGCTCAAAGGGGCGTGACAATTAGTCACAGTCATTTGAACGTGATGGCACTGATCTGGCACTCGGTAAACGAGCCCTAGCGCGTGATACAGTTTCGGGTCCGACTCGACTTCGGAGAAGAGCTGCGCTGGAGATTGAGAAGAAACCAAGAAGAACAAAGAATGCGTAAGAATGAGCGTCTGCGTCGCCGGTCTGCCGCTTTCGTAGTGTTACACACTAAATGTTATGGGACTTTTTATGTCCCTATGCATTTTTAAGCACATCCGACGCTGATACAATTTTGTACCCGTCTGGCAATAGAGCACTCCAAGGAAGCTCTGGCCCGGAAGAAGAAGAACAAAAACGGAAGTAAGAAATTGCAGTATCTATGAGAAACATACGCTGCGCATGAGGGTCCGCAGCGTTTATTTCTCATAGAAACTGCAATTTCTCACTTGCGGTTTTGTTCTTCTTCCGGGCCAGAGCTTCTTTGGAGTACTTTATACATTTTGTCCGACGCCTGCTGCAAATTGTATTTTCACTAGACAATTTGTCCCGCCTGGCGGACACTAAATTTCATCACCACCGGATGTGCTTAAAATGCATCATTCATGGGACAAAAAAAGTCCCATGACATTTTTAGCTGAGCGATAGCGAAGCCCGTTACTCCAGCGGGGTTGAAAAGTTTTGTCTGTCTATCTGTCTGTTTGTTTGTCTGTCTGCGTGTGTGTGTGCACTACTCCTCCTGAACGGCTCGGCCGATCTGGCTGAGATTTTGCAGGGTCATTAGGTATGTTCTTGGCTTGCCACACACCGAAATTCAGCTTTCTATCTCAATCCATTCGGTCATATTAGCCAAAAAACACTTAAAAAACGGCAGAAAAAAGACAACTTTTTAGGTACTTTCAACTTTGTGTCAAGTTTCATATCGTTTCATACGTTTTTGAGGCTGCTGATGACGAAAAGAGAACCCGTTCGGTTCCCCGACCGAAAGTTGAATCCGATTGGTGTAGATTTTGATGACCAAATCCTATTTTTGAGGGGATCACGCCCATTTCCACGGTCTGCCTGGGAAAGCAGCCTGCCGAAGGCAGGTTAACGCCGCAGGCCAAGGTAGGTACGCCAGGCGTGGATGGTCGAAACTGGCGCAGCATCGCGAAGCCTGTTACGACAAGACACGGTCTGGCGTACACCTACCTTGTAGTGTGTATATTCTCATTTAAGACGGGCGTTTGTTCTTCTTGATTTCGTCTCAACTTCCGGTTCAGCTCTTCTTGTTGCAAACCGTGCAGTTAAAATGCGAAATCTACGCGGTGGATGAACTTCGCCGCGTAAATTCTTTATCAAAACTGCCATTTCTCACTTCCGTTCTGGATCTGGAAGAGCATTGGAATACCCTAATTGTCAGCCGTTTTGAATGCCAATACCAGGAAATGTGACAACTTGTTTCTCCTCCATTGAGCACCAAACTCACCGCGGTGCTCTGCGAATGCGTCTCACGCTATTTTGGCGTCCACCAACGTGTCTAGTGATTCACCCCTCCGTCGGGTGGCACTTCCCTCCACGTCCTGCTGAGGTGGCCTTGTTGCAATCGCGGTGTTCGCAGGGTTGCCAGCGCCCAGGACTGTTGAAAATAGTAGAAAAGTGACTTAGCACCTTTTGAAATAGTGACAAAAAAGTGACGTCTTTTTGCTAAATAGTGACAATAAAGTTACCTTTTTAGACTAAATTTTGCTATGATCTGTAGAAAATTATCGCTTTTGGCACTTAATTGGAGCTCAAATACATGGTATGTGGGTGTAAGGACCATAAAACCGGAAAAAGGCGCGTGAAAAAGAGGCAATGGAATGGTTCTGTAAAGTTAACGGGAACTTTTAAACTCGAAAGAACAAAAAGAGAAGCATGAAAGCAAAAGCTTTAAAAACAAAACGGTGTTAGGATACATCTCTACTTAAAATATAAAACTGAGCCAAATTCTCAAAAAATACAAATAAATCTGATAAGATAGACTGGTCTATCTCGCCCGCAATAGAAGCCGGCCGCCTCCTAATTCACTCGCCTGACCGCGCGACGGTACACAACCACAACGCGGGGTCATATTCAAAAGATCTTATCTGGGCGTTCCCCCCAAGAGAATATTATCTTAAACGCAGACAAATTTTACTCATTTGTCATTTGATTTGGCTGCAAATCAATATGATTTGTGATAGAATTCACTTAAACCCTAAGATGAAAGATCTAAACAACTAAAAGTGCAAGTAGAAATGTATTCCGCTTACTCTCGTGTCCGTCCAGAACGATCGAACTGAGTGAAATACGCCTGCCTTAAGGATAAGATTCTCTTGGGGCGAACGCCCAGATAAGATGATTTGCATAGGACCCCTCGACAACAGTCACCGCCTTCCGACACAGCGCTGCCGCGCGGTTCGATACCTCGATAGACTTCACGAAACCGGCGGCGGGTGATTTGAACAGTGTTTTGAACCAAAGGCAAATTTACGCTTATAACGAAGTAAAATGGACATGATACCCTCCGCGAGCTCCAAAAAAGTGACAAAAGTGACAAAATTTCCAGAATACACTCTCATTCCAGGAACGTGACATCACGTTGAAACGAACGTGACAAAGTGTCACGTTCGTTTGAGCATTGTGTCACGTTCGTTTGAATGTGAACAAGCTGATTTTTGGCCAATTCACACCCAAACGAATGTGACACAATGCTCAAACGAACGTGACATTTTGTCACGTTCGTTTCAACGTGATGTCACGTTCCTGGAATGAGAGTGTAGTGGAAATAGTGAGGGCACTTTGGAAATAGTGAAAAATAGTGACAATAGTGAGTCGCTTGCAACCCTGGGTGTTC